ATTTATATTAAACAGCAGAGCTAAGATTTGAACTTAGTTCTTCTGACTCCAAATTCAGTTTTCTCCTGTGCTACACTGTTCCTTGTTCCTGATCTTAATCTGCTGAGTGAATCCTTTCTTCCTTAGGTGGTGAAAAGGTCAACTTTATCCTAGTCCAAGTTGAATTCTCAGAAATTCTGAATTAATGAAGTTTTACATGAAGCACTAACACCTTACCATCATGTATTCCTCCAAGAAAGTCTTTTAGCCTTCAATAGGCATCAATTTTTGTGTGGCCTAAGGACATGAGTAACTATCAATTTGCAAAACTGATCTATTCTAAGTTGAAGGGCAAGATACTTACAAAGACAATTCAATGATAACTTAGCCTGTGGAAGGCCCAAGAACAATTTAATGCGGTTCCTGAGATGGTGGAAGGTGATGACAAAGATGATGACTAACTGTTCTCCTCTAATAAGAAGAAATAGGCTGAATGTCATATTTAGATTAAACATAATTTCTGATATGGGTCCAGATGTAAGACAGCATCTTCCTGGAAGGTCATGGTTGTTTTTGTTTGTGATGGCTGCCTCCATTTCTCTAGTAGTGCAATCTTTAAGTTTTCTGTTTGGTGGTATCTAAGTTACCATTTTATGGAAGAGAACTTTTATAAATGCTACCTTATTAAATTTCAACGAACAAGTAAAAGCAATTTGGAAGCCATTGAGCACACTGAGCAGTTACTTTGCTTTTACAAAACCTACATTTGGACAATGACCTATTAAAGTTGGTTGAGGGGCAGAAACCATGGCTTGTTCATTTCTGTAGCATTCTTAGTGCCTAATAAAGGACCTCTAACATGGCATGTTATGGTGGGAAAAGTGCTGGGCTTAAGTCAGGAGACTGGGGCTTAAGTTCCAGCCCTGACAAACCCAAGTTTCTGACAACAGCTGTTGAAGAAAGCCTGTTAGAGAAAGCAGCTGGGTGACTCAGTCTGTATCCAGCTTCTTAGACAACTCTATTTGGATTTAAATAATCCTTCAGATTAGTGACTCTATGAAAGGCGCTGGGCAATGAATGGAGGATATGAGATATGGGGGAAAGTAATCATAGATTGACAACTATAGCCAAGTGGATTTAAAAATAAAAGTTAATTAGGTTATAGAAATGTGTGGAGCAAGGAATACTTTCTAGCTATTCTGAAAATAAACAGTATGAATGAGGGCAGGGCATTCCTTATAGGAAAATGAGCATTATGACCCACCCCAAAGGACATGCAACAGCTGGCCACAGCGACATCCAAGAACCTTTTGCAGACTTCCTACCATTCACAATGTGCAGGTTTACTTGTGTTGGGAAATCCTAACACCCACTTAAATGTACAAAATGATAAAGTAGAAGGGCGAAGGCTGAGGCTATTTTTGTCACTTTACAAAGGAATTCAACACAGCTGCGTGGAAGAGTCTGTGGAGGAAAGAGTAACAGTGTTAGAAGACCCTGCTAATTGAAAAATCAATCAGAGATAGAGATAAGTGCTTCAAGAGCAAAGTGATTCAATTTATAAAAAATGTGATTCACACATCCTTTTCGGGATCATGTTGAAGTACACTTATAGTCCACCTTCCCCATCCATCCCAAGGAAGCTGGGGGTTATGATCTCATTGACAGGCTTTAGGGTAGGTGGCATGGAAGTTTGTTCTGCATAGGTGGGAAGGTCAGAGCCAAATGGCATAATACAGTAGTAGTCAGAAAGGGCAGTGGTTTGGGAATGAGATCTGGTTTTTTTGTTCCAGAAGGGCTACCAATTAGTTATGTAACCTTGGGCAAGTCACCACCATTAGGACTCAAAAGGGGGCTGAAATAGATAATTCAATGTGAAGTAGCTGAGAATAAAATGACAGCAGCATCTTGAATTTGAAGGGATGAGAAACACAAAGCATATTCCAAATCCACATTTTTACCAAGATGGTGTATCATGCCAATTGTCATCTGCACTGGGACCAGAGTCCTGCATCTTTTTGTAGTTGTCTCCTGACAGCAATGAGGGAATAAATCCTCGTGAAAATGCCATTATTCTCTGTCCCTACACAAAAAAATCTTTTTCAATATGTAGCCAGTCAAATCATGGATGAGTTTCTCAATAATGACAAGTGCTATGAATACTGCTATGACTTAGCTCAGATTTCTTTAGTAGGCCACAATACTATTAATGGGAACAGTTGGAAAGCTTTGGAAGACAGGAAGCTTGGTCAACTAAAAACAAAAGGAAAAAAAAATATGAGGGAGAAAGAAGAAAGAGTCCAGGAGACTGAGGCAGGAGTCATTTATCAAAAGCTCTCCTACGATTACAAATGTACATTTCATCATGGATTCTTTATTTTATATATTTGCACCAAAGCAAGAAAACCAATTACATACAGTATCCTGATTTATAATTTTTCTCCTGTACCCATTATATAAATACCCCACAGTGATCTGTTAAATAATGTTAGGGAAAAAAAATACTGAAAAATCTCTTTCTGAACCTTAAACTTAAATGAAGAGCAAAGTACTCTTTACTGTGATCAAGTACCCAGAAATTTGCTCCTGGATTAAACACCCTACCTGGGTTCTTTGGAGGGCATTTAGTTAAGCAAATCCAATTTAGGGTATACATGCTGCCTGAAAGCAGCTGAGCCAGGTCACAACACAATAAAGTCAGAGGTAATAGCTCTCACTTGCCAGCACCACTGTTTCCTTAGCCCTTCTCTGGTCCTTTGAGTAGTCAGAATCTCATTACAAAATCCTGAAACAGTGCTTGCAATAACCCTACTGATGTGTGCCAAATTAACTTTTTTCTTATCATTTTGACATTTATTGCCTTTCTCAAGGACTTCTCCAAACTACCTAACTGCACTTTACAGTCAAAATTCCAAAAAGCCATCAATCCAATATACACACAGCTGCTTTCCCACTCCCAAACTACCCCAACTCTTCCCTTCATATAGTGTATCCATTTGGTAATTAATTCAGGAGATATTTTTGCATCAAGTCTGAGCATTAAACATTATCCTTTTTCAAGCATAAGTCGAGTTGGGATGGCACAGACACATCACTATTGCTAAGAGAACCCTGGGGAACTTTGAGAACCTTTAGCATTACTGATCGATAACTATTCCAGGTGGCAACAAGGATTATTATCAACTCAAGTGAGGTCTTTTAAAGAAGTATACCCTGCCAAGAACACCCCAAGGGATATCACAGTAAAGAGCAGATCTGTTGAAAGAGAACATTTGGTGTATTACAGACTAATGATTTTCTGAAGTTCCATGAGACATCTGAGTTGAGGTGTGGTAGCTTCAATATAGAGGGAGGCGATCAGTAACACTGAATTCCTCAGGAGGAAATGAAATGAAGGAGGCAATAGCTACAGATACATTGGACTCATGTACTCTAAACCACAGTTCTTGGATTAGGCATTGTCCTAAGACATTTGGGAGGGGCACGACATTTGGAATATCAGTGCAGATTTTGCCAAAATCTGTGTTTTTGAAATTCAACAGCTTGGCAGGAGAGAATAAGGCAACTTTTTTTTTTCCCAATTGTGCATGGAATGGGGCCAGCAGCCCTCAAAGCCTGCCTATTAACTCAGGATCATTTTCTCAATGAGAATATTTTGTAGATGGAGGAAGATGGCCAGAAAACCTTTCATAATTGGGAATACTGTACATCATCCCTGGAGCCATGATACTAATTTATTTTTTAAAGGAGACAGGGCATATTATTTTAGGGAGGTACATCCCATAGGGTAATAATATGAAGCATCATTAATATGTACTCTTTCAATGAAGAGTCTGCTAGCTTAGGAAATACATCTTTCACACAGCTGGCACTGAACAAATGCTGCAATGCACCAAAATCTTAACAATACTCTCCCAGTCTCTGTCAAAGTGGAACAGGGCAATCAATAGGAGGAAGGAGAGAGGAGGGAGAAAAGGTCAGGTTAAAGAACAACAGACGAGATCATGACAGTCTTATTATCTAATAACTCTAGAGGGGAAAATTCAACAACACTTCCCTTCCAGTCACATGCTAGCTTAAATAAAATGGAATGGAAAAGAGAATTTTGGGTAGTGTTATGTTTAGTCTTAGTTCACTAGGACAGCTTGATAAACTGATACCAAATTCACCAAGGTTATGGCCCAAGAAACAATGCTTACACCAGGGCAGGTGTAAACACAAGGAGGATGAATTTCCAATCTGTCAGTATTGACTTCCTCAGGGTCTTATTCAGCAGGAAAAAATGACTGCAACTCAAAATTTTCAAGCACCAAAAGTCTCAGGAGCGGGACTGAGTACTTGGCCAGAGTGGACAGCTAGCATTAAAAGAGTATTTCCTGTTCATGTCGTCCAGGAAATAATTTTCTCGCAATAGAGGCACAGTCTATTGAAATGAAAAAAAAAAAAAAGAAAAAATAAGGGATCCTAGATTCCCTGAAATTTCACAGCCTTGTTCACAAAATGTAATACTTTTTGGGGGGGAGGGGGGACGTTTGGCAGGGCTGGACAGGGATTACAAGCTTTGTGTAGGATGCACCAGCTGAGTTGAGCTCTGAGGAAGAAGAGCATCCCAGGCATGGGGTAGGAAGGGGCTACCCTCTGAAAAACCTGAAGGATTTACTCTTAGCTCAAATGAACACTTAAAATCACACTGGAAAAGGGGGAGGTTTTGAATTTGGTGGAACTGTTGGGCAAATCTGTTTAGTTTACAGCATCAACCAATCATTTATTCATGGTAGAACAAGCTAAAAGTAACAGCTTTGGTATTGGGAAGGAAAATGGATTTATTTATAAAAGACGATGGAATCCATCTTTTGAATTTTAGCAAGAAGGGAGGAGATTTATAAGTATTTTGTCCCTACCCATGTCCTAGGCCTGCCATTTTCCTAATTCACCAGTATAACAAAGCCCATAAGGTCCACTGATGAACATCTTTTGCTAGAACATTTGGTGATGAGAAAACAATTTCTTTGTTCCAATAGTTGTGGATCAGTCCGGCTTTTATTTTTTTTTTTAAAGCTAACACATTTTATTTGTCCATTTCATGTTCCAGAGGGGTCATTGCTCAGCTACAAAATCACAGAAAGTCAGATCTGTGAGTAAGCCTGGAAGTATATACGGAGTGGCAATAAATGGTTTTTACCAAAGAGAAACCTGAGACCAATGTCCACATGCTAATTATACCCAAAAGGCCCTGCTACTGCTAGCAACAGTAGTAGCAATAGTGTTACTGGTACAGTACAACATAAAGTATTAATGCTGCATTGACAGAGTATATATACCCATGTACTCACACACACAGTCTCTCACTCATATTTTAATTTTTAAAATCATGTATATAAATATTAAGGACACCCCCTCCCCCAAGCCCTTTATAGTAGGGACTATTATCGCACCTTCAGTTACGTAACTGCTTGTAGAAGAAATAGCACATGAGTCACTCTGGATGAAGTACCCAATTATGTTTCAGGTGACCTACCCCATGAAGTAAGATGTGAAAGGAGAGCTTTAGAAGTCTTGGAGTCAACCATCTATGCTATTTTGGTACAGAAAAAGGGGGGGGGCAGGGAAAGGAAGAGAACAAAAAGACTAAATAGTCATTTCCATTCTTTCTCTCTGCCACTCAATCTAAAGTGATCTTTCAAGAACTGACTGAATGAGAAGGCATACATCTAAATATTCAAGACATCTTTTCTACCTCTTCCTTATGGAAAACCCTTTCATAAAGGACCTGGCGGACACATGGCTAGCAATCAGCACTCCAGATGATTCTTGCTCTATACTCAGATGTTTCAAAGATCAAAGAGATGATTCTTTATTCAGGGAGTATCATGCAGAGAAGAATGAACGAGTGGAAATATATTACATTTCATCAACTGGTTGATAGATGCTCATTTTAACATGTTCTTTCATCTACCTTTCTCAGGCATTAATATATATGCTCCTCCATTACCACCTCTGTAGAGAAAAGTAGTTAGGGGAAGAAAAAGATTTGAGAAAACATGCTTGCCCAGATCAGAAATCTTTTCATTTCCTATGCCTAGACAAGCTGTTTATACTTTGCAAACACAATTCTCAGTGTTCTTCCAAATTCAATGATTAACTTTCCAAAGCTCTCATCTCCATTGTTCAGGACGAGGCAGCCTGCTCCATGAAGGTAATAGCAGCGAATGGCAAATATAAGAAGATTCAAGATTCTAATCCACAGGTGTGCCAGAGCAGCTAGAGACAAGCAAATACTCTTTCATGGGTTCATTAATGGACTCCTTCATAGCAACATTACTCAAATTAAGAACCATTTATGAATGCAGCCTCCTTTGAAACCTGTAAGTTGCCACCAGGAGTTCCTAAGCATCTGGTTAAAATGCAGAAACTATTCCCTACATCACATTTTCCAAAAAACTGCCATGAGTTAAAATACTTTTATTTTTAGGTGGCTACTCACTTACTTATCATCAAGAGCATTCTTGGAAGGTGATTTCCTCTAGTCTCAATTAAAAAAAAAAAATCCACTATCAGAGAGCCCCTAAGAGAAAGATTCCACTGATAGCTCCATTTAATGGCACCACATTTCTTCACTGAAAGATAACCTCCTCCAGGTTAGGGACCAGAGGGTCTCTGTTTAATACCTAGCACTCAGGAAGAGCTTTAGGTTTACACAGACACATCCCTCTTAATAGTCTTCTTACCCATACAATCCACACCACCACCAAATTTCCCTTTCTCTTCAATAGTGTTCAAGAATAAATTTTCACTCACTTACAGTTACTTATATGTGTATGATTCTTCCTCATACCCCTTCCCACTGATATTTCCACAGTTTAACCACATGGCTCATGACCTGATGAGCCACACCTTTCGAATTTTTGTGCCACAAAGAAAAAGAAATATTGCTCCCGAGAGAAGAGAGAAAGGAATTAGTGCTTTATGGGGCACAGAGAACTGTCTAGGGGAAACTGTAGAAAAATTGATTCAAAAAATTTTAGGCCTATGACTTTCTCTCTCATTCCTGAGGTAAAACAGACAGCTACAGTGTGGCAAGTTCCAAGCAGATCCCCTCTTAATAAGGAAAATCACATTCTCCTCCTTGGACTGCATCACAGAGGAAGAGGGTAATCCTTCATCTTGAGCATGGCATCACAGTCCTAGGATGGTAAAGCACTTTACTAATGCATTATCCTGTTTTGCAAATGAGGTGACTTAGAGGACCTGTCCACAGCCATATTTGGAATCAATGGCAGCCCTCAGGACCATGCCCAGGACTCCTGGGTCTGTGATACATGCTTTAAAGATGCAATTGTGTTCCTACCCAAGTGATGCCTATTTTGCTCTATAAAATAACAATTTTATTATCTTCCTTATACCATTCCCACACCATTTAACTTTTATCCTTTATAAGTTCTTGCCAGAACACCAGAGTAATTGAGTCTTTTCATTTAACTTTTGTTTCCCTTGTCCAATATAGCTTTCATGTTCAATGATTTGTATCACAAACATCTCTGTCTCTCTCTCTCTCACACACACACACACACACACACACACTCTTTCCACTGGTATAATACACTCTAGAACAGAATCAAATACATTTCCAAATACCCAGTCATTAACAAAAAAGGGGGGGGAAGGTATGTGCATATAAAAATTTAAAACAAATGAAATCCTCATTTTCTCCTCCTTTGTGTTCCCCACACATCATTCCCACCTTGAGGAAAGTTCAAACTTTCTTGTGGGCAGCAAAAGATCCAGTTTCCTTAAAGTACAGAGGAAGAAATTAGGTTTCTGTGACATTTTGCTCCCAGTCACACTCTTTTGTTGGATCAATGTTGGGAGGTGTAGGCCGCTCCTGTTCACTGACAGTACCATTAATAAATTAAAAGTTTTTTTCAAAGTGCTCTTCTCAAAGTTTGCTCCATCATGCTGTGCTCTCCCATTCACTCTGGGGATCCACAGATCCATTTGTCACCTTCTTGACTTTCTTCATATTCTCCATCACTCCTGAAGTTGTCACCCTAAAAAAAAGAAGTATGCAGTTAAGAAAACTTCAGGCAATGGCTTCTTTCGATAGTCTCTCTTTCTTTCTCCCCCCAGCTCTTCTACATGTACATTTTTGAAAGTAACAAGCACGTGGATTAGGTAAATGTTCTAGATTCATAATCTAGTTGTTATCCTCAAATTCCTTACTTTCCCTGGTCCAGCATACCCAGTGAGGTGCCAAATCTCACTATTTCTACCTTCATACTATCTCTCAAATTTGATCCCTTCTCATTATTCACATGGACACCACTTTTAGAACAGGCCTTTACCATCTCTCTCCTATATATTAGTGCAGCAGCCTATGTGGTGTCCCTGCCTGAATTCCTCCTCATTCCAGTCTATCATCCATACAGCTACCAAAGTCCTCGTCTTTAAGGACACATCTGACCGTCTCACTCCTCTGTCAGCTCCCTATTGCCCCTAAGATAAAATAAAAAAGCTCCTCTATTTAACTTTTAAAGCCCATCACAATCTGACCCCAAATCTACTTTTCTGGCCTTGCTGGACCCAACTCCCATCCCTTGCTCCAAGATGCACTAAACTGGCTTTTTCTCTGTTCCACAATACAACTCTCCAAACGATCTGCTGGCCTTTGAGGGGCTGTCTCATGTGCCTGAAATGCACCCCCTCCTCACCTTTGCTTCATAAGAGTCTCTCTTTTCTTTCTTTTTTTTTTTGACTAGGCAATGGAGTTAAGTGACTTGCCTAGGGTCACACCGCTAGTGTCATGTGTCTGAGGCCGCATTTGAACTCAGGTCCTCCTGAATTCAGGGCCGGTGCTCCATCCACTGCGCCACCTAGCTGCCCCAAGAGTCTCTCTTTTCAAGAAGCAGCTCAAGCAACACCTTCTACAGGAAGACTTTCCTGATCCCTGTCAGTGCCCCCCTCTCCCTAATTATCTTGTATTTAACTGCTCTTTTGCATGTATTCTCTTTATATTTATTATGTATAGATATATATACATATTTTTTGTCTCCATCATTGGAATGTAAGATAATTTCAGAGCGGGAACTGTTTTATTTTTTGTATTTGTATCCCAAGTGCCAAGCACAGGGCCCAGCCTCTATAAGGCACTTACTTAATAAATGCTTAGGGACTGATTTAATAGGCACGTTTAAGAACCTAAAAGAAAATGCTACATAATCAAGACACATAAGGAAGTGGGAGACTATGATAAGGAAAAGATACTAAAGTATTCCAATGAGTCCTTCACTGGGTCAGGACCGACAATCCACCAACTTCTATTATACAGTTTAGAAAAATATTTTGGCTCTTGCAAAAAAGCTGCCAGTTTCAGGCACATTAATACACTACTGGTGGAACTGTGAATTGGTATTGATATTCTGGAAAGTAATTTGGAAGTATGACCAAAAAGTTATTAAATTATGCATACCCTTTGACCAAGTGATATCACTACTAGGTCTATATGCCCAAAGAAGTTAGAAAAAGAAGAGAAGGACTCATGTACAAAAATATTTATTGCAGCTTTTTCTGTAGTAGCAAAGAAGCAGAAACTAAATGGGCATCCATCAATTGAGGAACGGTTGAAAAAATTTTGGTATATGAATACAATGGAACACTATTGTGCCATGTTAACCCAATACTGTAAAAACCTACAATTTTGAAAGCTGTAAGAACTCTGATTAATGCAATGACCAGCTTGATTCCACAGCACCAATGAAGAAGCATGCTGCCCACCTCCAGATTCAAGACATAGAATGAGATGGATATTTATGGAACATGCCCAATGAAGGAATTTGTTTTGCTTGATTATGCATATTTGTTTCAAGGGTTTTCTTTCTCTTTTTTTTCAATGGTGCAGGTAGAAGGGAGACAAAATCAATTTTTGCTCATTGAAAAATACTAAAATTAAAAAAAATGTACTAGATGTTCATCATAAGTTAAGTTGAGGTCCCTCATCAATGTAACCCAGGTGTGACCAGGAAGAGCAGTTGATAGGGAGGTAGCAAATATAAGTGAGGCCCTAAAGGAGCAGAATTAGAGAGAATTCGACCAATCCTAGACTATTGTGCTCTGTGCTTTCCTAGAAAAGCAAACTAGTACTCAGCTGGGCCTGAGGCTAAAAGTAGTGGAAATTATAGCTATTAATCTAAGTGAGAACCCAAGGAGTCCAGTAGACCAACAGACCCACTGGCCCTTGTGAAGGGACAGCCAGAAGTCAAATGACTTGCCTGGCCCTGCCTTGAAGCCTATAGATATGTTCAATGGAAACACTACAAGAAGCAAGCTCTGTCTGGCACTAACACTGACACCTATGCCCTATGCCTCACTGAATTTCGTGGGGATTGTCCAGAGAAAGAACAAACATCAAAGCCTTGCAGTTTTGGAGATATAAGTTGTTTTACCCCGTACATATACATATGGTCCTACATGTCTGGATATTATTATACTTTCAAGTTTGTGCCCACTCTTCTCAACAAATACTGAGTATATTTATGGGACAGTATGGCACAATAGATAAAGTATCTGGCCTGGAGTCAGGAAGACTCATCTTCCTGAGTTCAAATCTGGTCCCAGACACTACTGGCTGTGTGACCTTGGGCAAGTCACTTAACTCTGTTTGCCTCAGTTTCCTCATCTATAAAATGAGTTGAAGAAGAAAATGGCAAAACATTTTGGTGTTTCCCAAGAAAACCCCAAATAGGGTCAGGAGGAGCTGGACATGACTGAAAACTACTGAACAACAAACAACAAATGTGCTTCAGGCTTTTTGGGGAAAAGGCTCTAAGACTACAGTTCTTACTACGCCATTTGAGTAAATGCCTATTTTAGGAGAAAAAAAAAGCTTCTAAATAGTACTATGTCAAGGTCAGACAAGGTCCAGATTTCTGCACAAGAAATGGAGTCTCATCTCCTAATTTTGCATTCCTGAACAATTATACCTTACAGACCCTGAAATATTTATACTGTCAGCCTACATGGCAATAATAATCCTGTGATCAACTTGTACCTAGAACAATACTTTGAAAGAAAAGGTTTACTGCTTTAAAGATAGATAGGAAAACCATTTAGTTTGAATGGTGAAGGTATAGTGATTCTTAGTATTAGGAGTACTATAACACATGCAGTATAGAAAATCCTTCTAGTCCCTGGATCAGACAGTCTTCATTTCACCGTCTCAATCTAAGTGTGAAACAATTCTCTGTTGTGATAAGTTTGCTTCCAATCCAGACTGTCAACTGTGCCAAAAAGTACAAAGATTTTTCTTACAGACTGACAGGATGAAGTCAGGTTCATTGCTATGATTCCTGTTGTCTTCTTTTACTTTATGATCTTGAATATGGCAGCAGCTGACCTCCATAAATAAAAGTCTGATACTACAGATAAGAATGAAAACTGATTTGGCATCAATAAGAACCTTGAATTTAGCAGAGGAGGAGGACCTAAAAGTAGCAGTTTTTTATGTACAATAATAATACTAATAAAATAATACAAATGCAACTAAGTCTGCTAAAGAAGCTAAGGGCCATAAAAAGTAGAGCTCACCAACCCAGATGGCTAATATAGTTATAGTAGATGAAAAGTTTTGGGACTCAGTGAAGCAGAACATGAACAGTCTAGTTGAAAAGCACGGATTTGGAGAAACTAAAAATATGCTGAAATGGTATAGACTGCATATACCATAATGCAATCTCTACAGTAGCATCAAGGCAATTAGTGTTCACCCACTGACAAACAGGAGCTTTTTGTATAGGAAGTCAAATGACCAGGTTAATAAATTCTTTTTGTGTAACTAACTTCACTTCAGGTGACCAAGTACTATATAAACTTATTTTACCTAAGAACAGTAATTCAATAAGGAGGTATTGCTACCTATGACTTTTACACAGGTAAAGTTCAGTAAAATTTTTTAAAAATTAGTAGGAAGAGAAAGACAGTCAGTCTTTTCCCCTTTTCATCCATACTGCTATATTTCTTTCTTTTTTTTGTTTTGTTTTGTTTTTTTGGTGAGGCAATCAGGGTTAAGTGTCTTGCCCAGGGTCACACAGTTAGTTAGTGCAAAGTGCCTGAGGCCAGATTTGAATTCAGGTCCTCCTGACTCCAAGGCTGGAGTTTTATCCACTGCACCATCTAACTGCCCCTGCTGCTATATTTCTTTTAAAAATTAAATTTAGTCAGCAAAAATCTGCTTCCTCCCCACACCCCAAATTGAGAAAGCAAAATAAACAAAACCTCTGCTACAGATGTGTACAGTTGAGCAAAACAAACTCTTGCGTTTGCTATGTCTGAGAAAAATAAAGTCACATTTTGCATTGAGTCTTTTACTTCTCTATCAGGAAGTGGTTAGGATGTTTTATCGTTAGTCCTTTGGAACTGTGGTTGATCAGAGTTCCTAATTCTTTCAAAACTGTTTGTCTTTGCAATATTGTTGTTATTGTGTAAATTGTTCTGGTTCTGCTCATTTCACTTTGCATCAATTCATATAAGTCTTTCCAGGTTTTTCTGAAACCATCTCCTTCATCATTTCTTACAACAAAATAGCATTCTATAAACAGCATTTATCAGCCATAACTTGTTCAGCATTTTCACTCTTTTAATTTTAAATTCTCCACTGCAATAAAAGCAGCTATATTTTTGCATATGTTCTGTTAGAATTTGTTTTGCTTAGTACTAGTCCCTCCTTTAACCTACCTTATCTCTCTTATTCCCTCTTGTTTTTCTTCCCTCTCCTCTTCTGTTTCCCTGTAGCGTTAAATATATTTCTGTGTGTGTGTGTGTGTGTGTATGTGTGTGTGGGGTGTGTGTGTGTGTGTGTTTGGGGTGTGTGTATGTGTGTGTTTGTGGGGGGAGTGTGTATGTGTGTGTGGGTTGTGTATGTGTGCGTGTGTGTGTTCTTTCCTGTGACCAGTTAAGATGAGTGAAGTTCAAGTTTCATCCACTCGCATCCCATCCTCTTTGTTTGTACAATCATCTACTTGCACACTTTAATTATGTAATATGATTTTTTTTTATA